ATAACATCATAAAGCAGGGTCCAAGGCACTTCCTTCTGAAGATCTCGTGATATGGCATCCATGACGGCAACGAAAAGAAGTGGGGAGAGCGCAGAGCCTTGATGTACCCCGACGGTGATGGGGAACTCCATTGAGACACCCGCTGGTGAGCGAACTTGGCTCCCTGGGCATGAGTAAAGGATGCGCACCCACTCAATTAGCTCTTCGGGCACGCCGTGCCGCCTCAAAGCGTACCATATAACATCACGCGGCACACGATCGAATGCCTTCTCCAGGTCTAAGAAAGCTACATGCACGGGCTTTCGCTTCTCACGGTGTTTCTCCAGCAATAGGCGAGCGGCATGTATGGCGTCGACGGTGCTACAACCCGCCACGAAGCCACACTGATTGGTGGAAAGCTGGACGATATCACGAACGCGGGCGTCAACAATTCGCTCAAAGATTTTCATAGTGTGCGAGAGAAGGCGAATTGGACGGTAGTTCGAGCAATCTGCCGGGCTGCCCTTCTTCTTCCAAATCGGGATCGTCACGCTCTGCTGCCAGTCCTTGGGCACCTTCTTCTCTTCGACGATCTGGTTGAAGAGTTTCGTCAACCAACCCGCAGAAAACCAGCGTTGTGACTTCCACAAATCAGCTGCTATGTCGTCGGGGCCTGTTACTTTGCCGGCCTTCATCTTCCTCAGAGCAGCTTCTGTTTCCTGTACGGTGATCTTCTGAACGGGACCATATGTTGGTGCGGTACAGGGTATAGCGGGATGGGCGAATTCCACCGTTGAGATGCCCTCGAAGTATTCACGCCATCGTTGCAATACCCTTTTTCGGTCCATCAGAAGGTGGCCATTCTCATCACTTATGCCAAAAACTTCTCAATGTCTTCGGTTTGGCGATGACGAGATTTGGCAAGTCCGTACAGGTACCGCTCACCGTCGCGCGTCTCCAGCTTCTTGCTGATATCATCGAAGTGAGCGGCCTTCACAGCAGCCACGGCCGTCTTTGCCGCATTCCTCGCTTCCCGATACTGCCGCCAGTTGTCAGCCGACTTGTGCTCGAGAAACGCGTGATAGAGCCTCTTCTTTTCTCGAACCTTCGCTTTGACGTCGTCCGTCCAGAGCCATGCCTCTTTGTCAATCCTCCGCCGTCCAGGCTTCGTTGTGCCGAGTTCGGAGCGGGCGGCCTGGATTATAGAATTAACGGCTTCGTTCCAGGTCTCCTGAACAGTGCCTCCCGCTCTTTCACTCGCCACCACTTTATTCTTTCAGGACCGCATCGTTCTGCCTGCCTCGGTCTGGGAGCTACAAGTCTGAGCGTGCAGATCAGTGGGCGGTGCTGCGTGGCAACCGTTTCATACGGTACTACCTTAGCGTCTGTCACGAGTCCCATGCCTGATGAGTACAAAGTCTATTTGTGTCTTGGTACTCCCGCTGTAGAACGTGATGAGATGGGAGTCACGTTTACGAAACCTTGTGTTCAGAATGACGAGATTATGCGACTCTGCATACTCAAGGACTCGCTCACCATCGGCGTTCCGTGAACCGTAGCCGAATCCGCCATGACAAGCATAGCCGTCTTTTGCAGCGCCCACGTGTCCGTTTAAATCGCCGGCTACAATGATACCGTCTTTTGGTGGCACTTCAGCCGTCTTCTCGTCCAGCAGAGCCCAGAACTCGTCCTTGGACTGCTCAGAGCATCCAGTTTGTGGGGCATATGCAGAGAAGAAGTGGTACAGTCGTTGTTCAATAGCGACAACAATCTTCATTAAACGGTCGTCGAAACGAACTACGCTCATAATCGAATCGCGAAATCGCTGAGACACGATCACGGCCACACCACTTGTAGTTTTCGGCCCGCCACAAAGAACGGCTTTGAAGCCGCGGCCTAACTCTTTCGACTTGCAGCCAGCCCATCTCGTCTCTTGCACGGCACAGAGGTCGATCTTTCTACGCTCTAGGGCTTCTGCTAACTCGTACGAGCGTCCAGTCAGCGTCCCCACATTCAGCGTCGCAATACGAGCCTTGAACACATTGCACGTCTTTCGGACTAGCCTGGTTGCCCCCCGATGCCGTCCTTGCAACGAGGACCCTCGCATATTTTTCACACTCGTCGGGCCTTGCGAGTGCGCGTCGGCTCCCGCGGACGCCGTAGCATTATCTCGAATTCATAAGGCATAGTTAACATAATGATGTGACATGGGGTGTTCGTAAGCCGGCCCGTCACGAAGGCCTGTCGCCTGCTTTCGCGTTTGTCCGTGTTCTGCTCAGCCCGCAAAAGCGAGCAGGTCCCGGTGGCACCACTTGGAGGAACGGACGTCACCACCGGCACTAGAAAAAAATTACATACCTTAATCTTCAGGCACCTGGCCAGTTTTTTACCGATTTTCCCCTGAGAGGGCAGAGTCGGCTAAAAATTTGTTTCCATGGGTACTTCGACCTCCCTAACTCAAGTGTCGAATCCGTACCCTAGCACTGGCTAGCGCTGCTCCATGGGCGCCAGCGCCAAAATGCGCTAATCACCAAATTCGCCGATAACATGGCCAGGAGGGTGTTCTGACCCCTGAACATGATCCACATCCGCTTGGCCCGAAAAACTGGTGCCCGCACCATAGGCGCCGGCGCAAAAATGCTCTCGATCACAAAAATCGATTAAAACTTGCAGGCTATTTGAGATCTTGATCATGAACATGACATTCATTCCTGGTGCAGGCACTAATACAACATTCTACGGTCGTCTACGCTCCGCTGAGGCTGGGCCTGGCCCAAAGGTAATCCTTCTCCCAGGCTCAGCCTTAGCAGAGCGCTGAATCGGAAAGTGAATGCCATTTTCGTGACAATGGAAACCCCATTACGCGGATTTTAATCAATTTTAGTGAAAAGGGTGTTACGGCAAATAGCGTCAGAGCTAAAAGTGAATGCCATATTTGTGATCAGGGCACCGATTACCCCGGTAAGCAAGTTTACATCGCTATTGGTAAGGAAAGTGTTGGTGTTAAGTCGGCGCCTACTGGCGCTTAAAGGCGCGCGTCGAAAGCAAATGTCATACTCTTGATCAGAACATCGGATAATCCGTATAGGCAAGCAATCCTTTTTTTCGAGTTCTTAGGTAATAATAGTTGAATAGTACCCATATATGCAGATAGGTCCTCGTGTCACTGCATGACGCTCTTCCTGCATGATTTTCATATGTTACCTATTACCGGTTACTATCTGCAAATGCTTTCTCGTCCTTCTCATTGAAATGCGCTTGCGATGTGTATGAACTCTGAAACTGGCTAACGGCCCTTCAGTTCACGTTCTTCTCATTGAAACGCATTGCGAAAGGCATGCAACTTTGAAACAACTAACTGATCTTCAACTCAAGTCCCGCTCAGCGAGGTTCGCGTTCTAATCGCTATTGGAAGCGTGAATCACCAAAGAATGGCAAAATGCCAGGAGCGCCGCGGTCGACACGCGTTGCGCGGATGCTGTAGGAATAGATGCGACCTCGGAGAACTCGTAAAAACGACAGCATAAATATCAACTGCGAAAATGAAAAACGTGCGAAAAATATCAGGGTAAGATTGATTCCGGCCAACTGAAGAGACAGGCGCGTTCATACCTCGCCACTGCTCGACTGGATCGTGCTGTTTGTGCAGCGATCCGATCGCACTATCGCGAAGTATGAACGCGCTTCAACGTTGTATGTTTGGGAGGCAGATAAGTGAAAAATCTTTCCAAGGTTTTTATTCTTCCTGATGTACCCATTATTACATTTCATTCTTCCCGATATTCTCGATGTGTAAGGCCGCGTTCATACAGACGGCCTCCGCGGCATCCGTGGCCTCTGCGGAATTTTCAGAGCAAGCAAAGTATACGTATCGATTTGGAAATTCCGCAGAGGCCGCGGAGGCCGCGGAGGCCGTGTGTATGAACGCGGCCTAATTTCGCTTCCGAGGACACCCCAGTTCTCCGAACTCCGTGATTGTCCTCTGTCGCTATTGAGGAATCTCGAATGGCTTCACTTCGCCAAAGAGCGCATTACATACTTACGCGAACTGATGGCGCGAACGACCCTGATTACGAACTGTAAAGGATATGCGGCAAAATGACGGCTCAAATCAAGGCAGAGACATACGGAACAGCTTAACACCAAAATAATAGGGATAATATAATAAAAACTGCATGAAACAACGCACTTGAAGAAAGTTTCGTATTTCTCATGCCGTGGCATCACGTAGAACAGATTGAAAGCCACAGTAGCAGTTACTGCCGCTGTGAACCCAATGGCTAAGGCTCGTCTGCCGTAGGAATGAATCATTCCTCGCATTACAAAAGGGGGTGCCATCCTAAAATGTCAGATTGCACTTGGATTGGTACAAAATCTGAAGACATGGAGAGAGAAGGCTCCAACAATGGCCAAAAAATGATCGAATACACTAGCGAAAAGTAAGGAAATGCATGTTTGCAGGTGTGGATGTGCAGCAATGCGTCGTAATCCCAAGAAAGTTCAGACCAAATTGGCTTAAAGTAGGAAGCTAGTGTTTTGCACTGGACATATACCTCATTTTTAGGCTGCGTTCATACCGTGCGACGAGTCGTCAACGTCGACGTAACCGACGTTTTCGACGACTAGTTCGCGAAGATTATATACGTATCGATCCGAGGTAACGGACAAGCTTACGTAACCGACGAAAGCTGCGTAACCGACGACTACTTCACGAAGATTAGATACGTATCGATTCGTCGAAACGACGAAACTGACGATTTCGGCGACTGGGCCAAGAATAAGCTTTTCGTAAATGCTTCTTCCCCCACAACTCTTTTCACATCACTTATTATTTCGCACAAGTGGTGCCACTTGGGCATTGCCATATCACTTGATCCGTATCTAATCTTCGCGAAGAAGTAGTCGTCGGGGCCGCGTTCATACCCTGCGACCGTGAAGAAATGCAGAAATGCGGAAACTGCAGAAGTGCGGAATCTGCAGAAATGACGAAAAGCAATAGATACGTATCGACTTGAAGAAATGCAGAAATGCCGAAACTGCAGACGTGCGGAAAGTGCAGAAATGACGAAAAGCATTACATACGTATCGATCTGAAGAAATGCCGAAAGTGAAGAAGTGCGGAATCTGCAGAAATGCCGAAAGTGCGGAAAATCGATACGTATCGGTTGCTTTTCGTCATTTCTGCAGATTCCGCACTTCTTCACTTTCGGCATTTCTGCATTTCTTCAAATCGATACGTATGTAATGCTTTTCGTCATTTCTGCACTTTCCGCACGTCTGCAGTTTCGGCATTTCTGCATTTCTTCAAGTCGATACGTATCTATTGCTTTTCGTCATTTCTGCAGATTCCGCACTTCTTCATTTCTGCATTTCTTCATGGTCGCAAGCTATGAACGCGGCCTTAGACAGCTTTCGTGGAAAACGTCGGTTTCGTCAGTTTCGTTCGTTTCGTCGTCGGATCGATACGTATTCAGTCTTCGCGAAGAATTGACCACTCGGATCGTCGGATCAATACATATTTCGTCTTCGTGAAGTAGTCGCAGAAAACGTCGGTTACGTCGACGTTCACGACGACGTCGCACGGTATGAACGCAGCCTAAGCCAAAATAGTGAAGGCCGTCAATGTTGCCGAGTCGCATCTTTGGAGCAACCTGGTTGAATGATAGGGATTATGCTGTTTAGACACTCAACAGCGAGAACTAGTGTAGAATAAACGATATATGACAACTCAACTTCGGTTATCCGTTGTATACATGGCATTAAATTCGATGTATAGCCAAGTATGTCTGCGCGCCACAAGAAAAACCAATCAAACTCACACACATGCTTTACAATCTAGAAGGTCTCCCTTTTGGTTTAGATCCTGAGCCTAAATGTTATTTCAAGGATGCTGTGAGTTAAACAACAGGCGAACTCATGCCTACCGTATGTCGGTCTGTAAGTATGTCTGCCCGTCCACGAAAGCATCGGATCGGTGTTTGGATATCAATCTAATGTTATGTTCATGATTATGAATAACACTTTTCTATGTTATAAATGACATCCAGTGAGTTGTTTCGCAGTCATTCTGCTAGATGCTCAAGGCAGGAAATAAAGGTGATTGAGATGGTTTTGGTTTTCATAAAAAACTGCTGTGTGTACGGAATAAAAAGATGGTGATCCATCGCTGTGCTGTAGCATGCACGAAGAAAGGTTGCCTACCCCGGCGGTTGTTATACTGATTAAAGTGCGGACAAGTTCGAAGATTTAATTGGGTTGTCGACGCTTTTTCTGATTGGAAAACCCAGGGAAGAGTGAGGCTCCGGTTTTACGGTCGGTGAAAATCGAAAAATGAGAAAGTGGTCTCGTCCTCGAACGAGACCACTTTCTCATTTTT